ACATTTATTCCAATTCTTCATGAATCAAATGTAACAAAAAACGTGCAAAATAGGTATTCACCGAAGCGAACATCTAACCACATGTTATAAAATCGTGACAATGTATGTGTTATTGTACTTATCTTAATTTAAGTCGTGTTTATCGTTTTTGGGGGCTTCGACGAACTTGTTGCTGCGTGGGCAATTAAACGTGATGAGTCGATTCACAACACAACAAACCAAACACAACCAGACACAAACATGCACTGAAATACAATTGAACTACAAACAACACGTGCAATGTAATCCAGAAACTCGTGCGTCGAATATTGGGCAACCAAGTTTACACATTTTTAAATAAAATATTAAAATAATGCATTAAAATTAAATCAAATGTATTTTAATGAAATTATAGAAAAGCAGATAATTATTGATAATTTTCTATGTCACACTGTAGATTATAAAATGAAACTAAAGAAAAACTAGCACTCAGAAAGTTGGAAATTAGAAAACCATGTACTAATTTGGTAGTAAACTAGGCAGGTAGTAGGTAAATAGTTAAATATGTTTTCGGTTTCTTAAAAAAGTCCATCCTCTATCATTAAGCACACAACATAAAAAAAAAAACAGGAAATTGCGTTAGGTTAAAACGTTGTATAATTTTGCCATGCTCAAAATCACGTTCATGAACACTAAGTTTGTTTACACATGACCAAGTTCACATAAACTAAAACTACTTATAAAGGATGTTCCTAAAGATATCCTACAATTAAAAGAAACATAGAAATTTACTTGTTTTTGTTTACGAGTAGTTTTCTCTTCCCAATCAATTCCTATTTAAGTACAAATTTTATTTGTTTACTAATAAATGATATAACAGCTGATTCGGATAAGTAAAAGTAAAATTTGACTCATTGGTTTGTCTGGCTGCAGTTTAATAACCAAAACCCAACTTTTACATCCTACAAGGAACTACATTAGAATTTTAAATACACTTAGGATTTCTCTTCTATGAATCACGTTTTATTATTGTTAATATTCTACATTTTATGTAAAATGTAACCGGATTGCCCAGCATGACTCCCCATTAAACGTGTAACACCATTATTTCTGTTTATTGATGGATTCAATTAATGTATTTTGAATTAACATAAATTTATGCATAAAACAATATGCAAAATATGCAAGTTTATAAAAATGTTACACAAATATGAAATTTTACGCGGTTTGCTGTAGATACTCGTAATATTTATTGGTTGTAGTGTAAATCCGGGTTTGGAAATGTTTTTGAATTAGTTTTGCCGAGTTTACGTTAAAAATTAAATCTATGGGAATTTTTATATACCAGTTATTATATTCGCATTAGATAATGTTTACATTTTTTATGAATTTTGTAATTTAATCGGTTGTTCATTTGTTTTTTCTAATTTGTTGATATATCTATTCAGATTCGTAACAGGAACTTGTAAAAACACTAAAACTAAATGTTAATGTTTCTAATTTTATTTTTAAGTTAAAAATCGTAATTTATTAATTTTGAAAAGTGACATTTTCATTTTTACAGAAAAGGTTGTGATTATTTATTAATCCGGATATGTGTAACAAAATTTAATAGTACTATATTGACATACACATAAAATAAGATAATAATTATACTTCACTACTCCAATGTTGGAGTTGCGATATAAGTAACGAACGGGTTTGCAAAATATTAGTAAGTTAATAAATTAAACATAAATCACTGATACATTCAACATAATAAAATCGTAAACGTTTGTTTAATGAAGTATCAATCATTCCATCGATTAGCGAACAAATACGACTTGGACATAAACAAATAAACATTCATTCAAGCAGACAATACTTTTTGCATTGCTCGCTCTGGCCGTAAAGCGTGTATCACAAATGAACATGTCCCTCCCAACCACTCGAATGGAATGGCCATTTTTTAGGTCAAGTAACAACAAACAAAACGTATGTAAATTACAGGTATCTCGCACGTAACAAATATAATAACCATAATAAGTGTGAATACGCGCATGTGTCTCTTTGGGTGGAAACACTTAAACGGCAAATAAAACGGAACGAATTTGTCGTCCACCTTCATCACTAATTGAGCAGTATTGTTTGCGGTGATGATCTTGAAACATTGCCCTATATGATTGTACCAGTTTATAACAGGGCAGGCATCAAAATTTTTTTTATCAGCTACTTTCTTATAGATGGCAGCAAATTTTGTAGATTTTGACATTTATTTTAATTTAACGATTTATTGATGGTAGTTAAATATATAGGAGATAATTATTAATGCGGCGCTGTGATGAACTGATACGGATCATTTTGCCATTGAAAGTAAAACGTTGATGCGCGCATTTCATTCGTTTCCGTCGTGACCTCGAAACGTATTCGTCGGTTTTCCTTCGTCGTCAAGTTCACGTAGTTTGATTGTTTGCTACACGTCCTGGATTATTGTGGATTATCATAATAGATGTGTCAGTAGCACAAATACTTTAAAATGATAACATATATAATGAAAACTCATAGTCAATTAAATAAAAAACTTATAGCAACTTGAATAAAACCAAAATCTTCAAAATTAACCTTGAAATCTCAATAGAATTTAAGCATTTAATTTTCATTTGTTTTCAAACTGAAATCGATTTAAATTCCACGTGTACACAAGGTAAATATGAGCTAATCGAGTTGGCAGATTGGCGTAACCTCCAATCGGTGCCCAGTCCGGAAAAACGGACGCCGCACGAGCAAACGCTCACCGACACTAAACGCGTGCTAATTATAAATACACACACTCGCACATGCGGACAGCCATTTGAATTATCACATCTGAACGGCACACATATTGTACTTGAAAATAACACCGCCAGCCAGATTAGTTTGCATCATGTAAGTCGGTTTGTTGTGATTTTCCTGCGGTCGTGTGTGGCTGTTAATGTGTTTAGCATGTTTTCTGGAATTTTACCAATTTCACGCAAATAAAATGTAAAGTTGCAACAACTTATGTATGCGGACATGAATCACCTGATAAAGGGATGATCAGAAGTCCTACAAGTGGCTAGAAAGTGAATTCAAGGAAATCAATAACAAGATAAGTGCGTCAGAGGATCAGCTATAAGGATTCATTTTTTTCTCTTCATAAAAGTAAGTGAAATGAGTTTAAAATCTCAAAATTTTAATATGATTATTAAATTATCGAATAAATTGATCAAGTTGTTGAGTGGTTGAGTTGTTAAATTTGTTAAATCAACCGTGAAATCACGAAAAAAACTAAAGCGTAGTAAAGAAGTCATGCAATTTGTTGTAAACATTGTTCAAGTTCAAGTTCCCCATCGACATTATGGCACGAGCACACGCAAAACACTTTCTAATAATATTCCTCGTTATATTAATGAAACAAAACGCCAGAAGCCCTGATTTCATTCTTTCAACACTTTTTTCCCGACGTGAAAAAATAAATGAAGTAATTATACAGTCTCCTCTTCATTCTCTCATAATTGTTCAATTTAAGTCGCATTTCCGCTTCTATTTATGCTCAATTTTTGAGAACAAGGAAGAAAAAAGAATTTCACAATTATCAAACACATCGGTAAATGTATTATTTTCATTATGAAAGCAATTTTTATAACAATTAACTTTTTCTTTTCGACTTCTCTTGCTTGAGGTCGACTTTTGTCGAACGTATAGTATATTATGAAGATTAATAATATTTGCTATCAGATCCAACGTCATTCAATGTATGAATAAGTTAATTATAAAACGATATCTCGTGAAGTATAATTATATCAGTTAGTGGAACATTTGAACAATTATAGAAACTTTAATCGGCAAGTTTTGTTGTAGCTGTGAAAAGTAGAACGTACAAGATCGACCTCCAGCAAAGTGACAATATTTTTCTCAACATGAAAAAAGAACACGAGTTAAAGTGTAGAATTCTGAATTGTCATTAAATTTCTATGCCTTATTATAATTTTAAGTGTGACGAAAACGAAAAAAATGAGTAGGTAAATCGCCGAGATGAGAGTTGACGAGATGAGAGAGTGATTCACTCTCGCTGTTCTACATTTAAGGACCAATAAAAAGTTGACTCTATTAAATCTCATCAAATGAATACTCAAATGTAATTTTTCGACATTTTCTTCATAAAAATTGCAATTTCTTTTTGTTTGTGTCATTTAAATACTTTCTTTTATTGTAAAATTAACGTACGCACAAAAATACGACATTAAATTGTTGAAAGTCTGATTCACTCAATAATTGACCAGGGAATTGAATTAAAGTGATTAGAAGTGGAAGTAGAACGGAAATAGTGTGAAATGTTTAAATTGTACCAATCACATTTATCATCTTAATGTTTTTAATTTGTACAATTTAAAAATAGACACCATTAATAATACTTTTTAGTTTATAGGTTATATCAGGTTAGGAAAAACACCACCAGAGCTACTGCGGTAGAATTTAAAAGTATATGCGTGACGCGCATGCGCACAATGACTGAAATCATAATTTATTAGTATAAATAAAATAAATCTAATGAATACTAAGTGTGCATGGGTGGTATGTTTATGTATAATTACAATAATACCAAAAACGGGTGTTTGACCGCGGTGCTCACTGAGCTATCGAAAAGAACGCAAACGCGGTGTCGATGAGAGTCTTGCACGAGAATCTCCCAACGTGCAGCAAACGAATGGAACGCCATGGAACGCGCAGAAGTAACGACCGCACGGTTTTCAACTTGACTTTCACAAAGCACACAATGGTGTACTCTTGAAACAACATTCGCGGACGGCACAGTGTAAAATTGCATACATTCAATAAAATGATGTTGATATTTGCGCACAAGACGAAACAAATCAAACAACACCTCACAATGATTATTTATTTAAGTCATTGCATGAAATTCTCCTCCAGCGGCCATTTTGTATTAGATATACTGAAAACTTTAGTTATAGTAGGCTATAGACGAAAACAAAACCTAGCGATGGTAAAAACAATGTGACACGTTCATATTTTTTCCAAAAAGGGTCCCGTCCGGTTCGATAATGTCAGACTAGCTTTGTTTTGATTGAGTTTATTCTTGGAGGTGCATTCGAGTTGCGGTAGGTCAGGGAATTAGCTGGCCGTGACGCTGCCATCCGCACGCCACAGACTACCTTCGAAGACTAGCAGCAACCGAATTGACGGTGCCAGGAGCCGATACCACAAGAGGAGGAGGACGACTGCATTATCAAGGATATCATACGATACAACCATCTGTACCTACACAGAGGAAGGTTGGCAGCGATATCAATATATCCTCGAAAGTAGAGCATAACCTCTCTCCGCCCGCGTATAGGACTCCAGGAGGACCGTACAGGTTGCATATACATAACCAAACTTATAAACTGCTAGCAGTGTAGTTACTGGTGTGCGTGGACGTAGAAAAACTTGAAATTGGAAAACGCTAAACAAAAAAATTTGGAGCTATATATTATCAGCAAGAAGATTGTGATCGCTACGCGTTTTCGAAACGAAACGTAATTTCGAGTGGGGACTAATATCACAGTGACGTCGCGGCCATTGTAAACCATCCGGTACGGTATACACACACACACACGCACGGGCGCACCTGCCCGCGAAAAAAGTTGAGAGTCGCGGTCGCGGTATAAAAGAGCGCGGCGGACAGCGCCGACGTTTAGTACAGTAGAAAGCTAGGTCACCAGACGTTCGAGTCGTGGCAGTAGCGCATCCACGTGTTCCTTGTGACCCAATTCCTCCGACCACCATACATACACACAGATATAAACACGAAGATAACTCGCGCGCTGGTTAAGAACTGGAACTGGACTCTCTTCCCGACGGGTTTTTGGGAACGCGGTGGCAATGCGTGTGATCATCGCACGGATTTGCGTGTAAAGGACTTTTGCTGTACGAACGACCAACCATAACAACTCTAATAACATCTTTGAAACTGAAGAATTGAACAACTTTTTTCGACGATTGAATTTCCAGTTGGAGACGTAACGATTCAGTGATATTTATTTGATATATAATTTTTGGGATTTTGTAAGCGTGGCGAAAAATTACAAATTGTGATACTAGACTTAAGAAAATCGTTGTTTGTTTTGGAATCGGTTACGCGGTTTTGAGTCGTCGGCTTTTTTCGCGCTGGGAGGAAGAGATTTTACTTGCAGAGCTTGCGAAGAAAGTTGAAGACTTTGGCATTTACACCAGGTATGAAAAACATACATTTTATGCGTTTAACTTTAATTGGCTTGAGTGTTAATCAAGTTTAAACACTAAAAGAAATATATAGTGAGTTGTTGTTCGTGGCAATGGCGATGTGGCGTCGTGAGTCGGCCATTGGCATAGATAAAATCGTAAAATATACCGTTGCTTCTTTTTGTTCTGCATCACTCATTAGACGAGAAAGACACGTGAGAAAAGATGCTAATTTCTATCAAGCGTACTGTTTCGAGAGTAGGTAATGCGTGCGGAAGTTGCAATCGTTTGTTTATTGTAAAGTTTAAACATTTGAAATGCATGCCGGCAATTGCGCTCGCTATGTCCGCGTACATTTGTTCGAGTAGTAAAATTGTTATGTTTATAGACGACATTTTGTTCTTGGGTAATTTGCCTTGATATTTCCGAGGATATCTTCTGAGTCGGGAAATTTACGTACTACCGGTCTGTATTAGATTTCAAAACAGTAAACAATAACACATTTTATGAGCAATAAATGCACCACAACTAAATTTGCATACACGTGAACTAAAAGTAAAGTTATTGCTGATATTTGAATGAATTCGTATTATTGATGGCGCAGAAAATTAACTTTAATTTGTTAGAACATAGAAATATATTCGTGGAATTATTAACAATTGAGATTATATGCAAAAAACAGTAAACAGATTATTCCAGGAAAGTTAAAAACCATAAAAAATCATTTTACGCATTTTCTTACTAAATTAAAGAAAAATTTGTGAAAAAAATTAATTTTTTCGGATTTATTTTAAGAACTTTTAAATGTCTAATTAATTGTGTTCTGATGGTTGATAACCTTGATCCTCACGACATGAGCACAATACATATATCAACTGATTTAATTTATGTTGGATAATGACACAATTGCAAATATTATTACTTCAACTTACATTAAGAATTACGAGTTCTCTGTACTCGTGCATCTACATCAATATGACATTATGAGATTTGTCGACCTTTAATGAGATCTATGTCGTGTATTACTAATGTTTGTAGTTCATGGAATGACATTAATGCAAGACGATGAAAACTGCGCATTCAAATGATGTGATTGACTTTGGTTGTTTATCAAATGAAATTTTATTAGCATGAATAATCCTAGCAACATTCGTATATAAAAATGAAAGTTTGAAAACAAGACAATTATCATTGTTGCGCAGTTATTATGCTAAATAAATTCGGAATAAATTGCTAATTTGCTGATTGCAATTGTAATGCTTTTTCGGAGCGCGTGTGTGTCGATTGTTTGCGTTTTCGTTTTATTTGCGCATGTATAATACATGTTGGTGATTGGTGTGAGTGTTATAAATATGTACCTACTAAGTGAAATCTTGTCATGTATAAAACGCGCTGAATGCGTTCAATTTTGTTGAAATTCACGTGTGCCTAATTTCATTAGAAACTTGCTCCTATTATTATTGTTGGAGCGCGTCTGCGTCGTCCACGCGCGCTCTGAATTCAATGCGCTTTCACGAGTTTCGCTTGAGTTTTGCGCCTTAATTACGGAATAAAATAAATAAAATAATTTGAGTGTGTGAAACTATACTGCGCATGAAATATAAGAGGTTGTAATTGTTGTGTTGCAGATATTGTTCCAGAATGCCTGAACCACTAGAGGAAATTAGCGCGGCAATGGAGGCGGTGGTGATTATGGAAGAAAAGCGCGATAGCTACTCGCCGCCACCACCGAAATGCCTTGAAACACGCGACAGTATTTCTAGCATCGATAGCGACGTCTCGTTATCATTTGATAATAAAAAGAAGTTGGGCGTTGAGAATGAAAAGGATGAAGATGAAGGTGCGCACATGGCTGATCTGAGTGACAGTGCCTCTGACACTGGTTCGAGTGGCGGCGGTAAAGATTCTGGTTGTGAAGTGACGCCCGAAGTGTCGGAGCAGCTCTTCACGCCGCCGTCGGAGGAGCTGGCTGACAAGATTGTCCAGCAGGTGGAGTTTTACTTCTCTGATGCTAACATCACCAAAGACGCGTTTCTGCTCAAGCACGTCAAGCGCAACAAGGAGGGTTACGTCTCCCTGAAATTGATCTCCAGCTTTAAGCGCGTCAAGCACATCACCAAGGACTGGCGCGTTGTGGCGCATGCTCTTGAAAGATCTACTAAATTGGAGATCAATGAAGCTGGTACTAAGTTGCGTAGACTTGATCCGCTCCCGCAATATGACGAGACAACCCCATCACGTACAGTGGTAGCCATTAATTTACCAATTGAAAAACCAACTATAGAAAATGTTGCTGAGCTCTTCCGCGCTTGCGGTGAAATTTCGCTCATTAGGATTCTAAGACCCGGCAATCCGATACCCGCAGATGTGAGGCAGTTTATCAACAAGAACCCTTCCTTGGCGGGTGTCGTAACTGCCCTCGTTGAATTTGTCAACTCTGAAAGCGCACGTGCTGCTCAACAACTGAATACCACCTACGAACAACTAAAGGTTTACGAGCTGAACGCCGTTCCGCATCCCGAGCGCAAGAAGAAGACGCAAGCGAAGAAAGCTCGTAATTACGCGCCCACTGATACCGAATGCTCCACGTGTCCCAGCAGCTCGGAGGCAGAGGATAAGCTGAGGGCGGATCCGCGCATGCGGATGCGTCGCGGCTCCTCCAACTACCCACCCAAGTGTACCGAACCAGTGGCATGGCTCCAACGCCGTCTGTCCGCCTCCAGCACCGAGGCTAACTTTATGTTTATGCCGCGCCGCCTCTCATACGGCAGCCGTGACTCGAGTGAGTCTAGCCTGTTTATTCCACGTCGTGTGAGCAACAGCTCGACAAGTTCGGCGGCGTCTTCAATTAGCGGTTGCGGCGTTTTGGGCGCTATTCCACCGGCGCTCGCCGCCGCCGGCCAGCAATACCAACAGTACGTCCCGCGACGCTTGTCGACCAGCAGCGTCGCGTCGGACGTCAGTTCCCCGCGGTCCCGCAGCAACAGTATGGCGTTCCAGAACGAGAACGTGGTGCGTATGCCGAAGGGCCCCGATGGCTCCAAGGGGTTCCGTCAGCATCGCCCTTCGCTGGGGACGATCTACTCGTAAGCGAATCGCATATCCACTGAATATTATTCACTCACGAGATTGGAATGATCGGAAGTCTGACACGGTCGAAATGATTTCTCTCGTGGCGTTTTTTTCCGTTCTTTTTTCTTTTCGTTTGCTCATTTTTCTTATTTCTTACAACCGAACAACGGGTACGATCCGAACCCTTCAAAGTTAAATCTTCGCGAACCATTCAATAAACTGATAAATTACATTTTGACCTCAATTCTGTTGTTTGCGACTTTTTTCAAGATACGCGGCGTCTTTGTTTCGCGCATGGTTTAGAAGTAACTTTCACCTTGAAAAATTTAACAAGTTGCTATAACCCGAGCGTCAATATGTTAATTTGTATATCTAAAGCAGTGCGTGCGTGCTGGATCGAAAGAAGCGCGCGCGTTTATACACCTAATGAATGAATTTCATGGAAAACTAAATAATTAGAAAGCATGAAGGGAAATTTCCAACGCATACTGTCGATGCAGGCTGCTTATTTAAATCTTATTATGCATGGCTTCAATTAAGTATAAAACTCTCCGTCCAGTAGGCTTAGATTATCTCAACATTCCCTCAAAAGTTGCCTTAATGTTATCATTTTCTCTTATTTATTATTTAAATCATTCATTTTAGTTTAATTATTCTTGACTAATTGTTTACATGATCATTATTATGATCAAATGTTTATAAATACGTAAACGGTACTCTTTACGTGACACTCGCGTTCTCTAACACTTATTTAATTTATTTATGATCCCAACGTTTTAAAATTAACTTAAATATTACGATATTTTATGTTTTAATGTGTATCTCTTTGTAAACTCCTTCAATTCCTAATGTAAGTGATAAGCCGCAAATATGTGTGGAAGGATTCTTATTTATTTTACAATTTTATAATTGACGATGGAATATTGCGAGGTGGTGCGTTTGATATTTCGAAATTTGTTGATGTTTTTTTTTAGTTATGTTGTGTTTAAAAATGATAAAAGTAAACGTGGTAATAACATGTTATTGCTTCAAATGTTATGATAAAATACAAGAAATGCAAAATAAAAAATAAATAAAATGTTGATTATTGAGAATATTTATATTCCTTTATATCTGCTTGCTACGATTGATCCGTGCAGTTCTCTCTGCGTTTAAATTTGGGTCACAAATATCTGGTTCTTGTTTCAAGTCGCCTTTCAATCCAACACGGTGAATTCCACCGAATTTAAGGACATATAATGATTCATGGTCCACGTCTCAACGTTCGTATGTAAGTGAAGCTGTATTTAAATAACTTTGCAAATTGTTAATTACGTGATTATTTCCATTCTTAAATCGCGGTTTAGATGTGTGATCAATGAAGCCGAGATAAAAATGAACCGTGGACGTTGATTTTTATGCTCAACCGATGTATAGGTGTCAAGGATTATCGCTCGCATTTGAATTTTTTTTTATTTCTAGATGTGTTTCTCCGTAGTCATGTTCACAACTCCACAGAACGGTTGATTTAACTAGTTGTATCCTTGTTTCACATTCAGAACATGCTTGATGCTTGTGGTATATGGTACAGAATGTCAATGAATTTCGATTTTCAGGGTTAATGAGTGTTTTGAATCAGAGTATACGTATTAAAATTGGTGATTGAAGGTTTTCACCAGCAGGTTCGAAACAATCCGAATATTAAATGTGAATTACCCTACATTACTACATTGTAAATACATTTAGATGTATTCATAGGTTGTGTGTGGTACATGTGTTCATAAATTATCTAGACAAAACATCGAAATAATTGTCTGACTTTCCCTTTTCTCGTTGTGAGATTCGGCTCCAGTTTCAATTTCCTTTTATCTGTATTTCGATTGTGACTTTCATCGCAGCGGTGATAATTAGGATTTAATGCATGCCACTCGGGCGACAAATCAAGTTAATTGCTTCATTAATTTTGATTTAAACAGCCAAAAATTTGGTTTCACCTTTCATTAAAAATCTACAAGTCAAATGAAAATTATTATGATAATAAAAGTAGATTCTACTAAAGTAAAACTTGAATAAAATTCACTGAAGCGTCAACAATGCTTAAAAACCTAAAAAAGGAATAAAATTTAAGTAACAGCTATAAGTAATACTAACTCAAACTAATTTCGCTAAGTAAATCCGCTTTAAACTCATTTGAAACTAGTAAATTTGAAGGATTCACTTTAAATTTTCGCTCTAACTAAAGCGGATTACCAAATATGCGATAAATTAATTAAAATAATATTTTAACTCTACGTTTTCCTAACACATCATGTATATATGTGCATAGGTAAGTCCATAAACACAATTCTACTTTCACCGTGCCATGTTTAGCGTGTTCATCACTGAACTCGCTGCTGGTTTCCATTGACAAACATTTAAGCCTGTAAATGTATATTTTATTTATACATATTTATAGCGCACATTAAAAGAGCCACCACGCAATAACGGTATGCAGCTATCGTGATAGCGCCGTGCAACTTTACGGGTATCGCACTTTCCATATTTTCAAAAGCTTTCAAACACTCCAATACGCTTCAAACGGTCGTAAACAGCGTGAAGAAAATAATTCCTGTGTGATCGTAGAGTTTCACATTATGCAGATTCGTGTTACTTCTTTCTACATGTCTTCCAGTGTCAAGTTCATAGGCGCATGATGTCGATTGAGCTTGACATTGCGAATGCAGTCATTCGGAAAGGAACGGACGGCGGCATAAATTCGCTACGCTTCGCTGGCGTTGAAATTGAGCTTATTAATCAGATGAAAGTTGCTAGTTATTCTGAATGCTACTGTTTCGTGTTGGATCGAGTAGAATATTCAGAATATATCAACAGCGTATCATTTGTGTGACAAAAAATGGTGTAAACAATTGTGTATGGGCCCCACTGAAATTTAACTATACATTTTAATAAACACACTATCTCTGAAATGCTGTAAAATGTAGAAATGTATATTCACCATAGGCAATGCATCATACAATGATGGAATTTGTGTATGTACCAGACTCTGTAAATTAACACATGGGAATATGGTGACAATTAATAAAAACACAAATGAGTACTTTTATACCGCAGTTAAGATCTTTTTTGTTTGAAATTGTATTTTTTGTGTTGAATATTTTACGCATGTATAAGACATCAAAATTTTGTAACTAAACCTCTTTTGCTTATTTTTACAAAGTTTTTTCCCTTCTTTTTTTGCAAAGTAACTTAATGTAACTGCACTATTTTACGTTTTTTTTTTGTCTCTTTCTTTTTTATACAATTACCAGTACTTTTTTTTAGATTTTCGTTTTTTAAGCTGTATAATATAATAAAGAGGAGGTAACGTAATGCAAATAAAAATAAAAACATGAAATAAAAAATAACGATAGCAGAACCCATCTACTAGTAGTGGGAGACGATGTACCTGCAAGCTTATGAACAATTAATAATGTAGTGGCATAATGTTCAACACACATCATCGAACACAGCTTTCGCGCAGTGCGTTCGCATGTAGTTCTGTAAATGAACCGAAATAATATCATCTCCATTATACAATAGATTTAAGCTCTTAACTCATCTCGATTACTGTTGTAAATATGAAATTCACACTCATTCATTACTCCACTCACGCAAACACGCACATACAATTCCTATCCCTCAATCACATCCAACCGAATTCTAACCTTAATTTTTGTCTTAGTTATTAACTGCGTTTTTGTTGTGTTTTTTTTTTCTGTCAATAATCTTTTTCTTTTTTTTTTAGTGCTTATGTCTATGTCTAACGCAGCGCTGCTTCTAGTTGGTATGTTTTTTTCGAGCAGATCCTTTTTTCTTTCTTTTTTTCTCTCTGATCAAAGCGTGTACGTTCGAACTTGTTTGTTTTTTGTTTAGAAATGATCTGTATAAGAAATAAACAGTGAAAGGCATAAAAACCTGCACTGGAATGCTGTCGGCGTGGGTGTGATGAAGGGCTCCTCGGATTGGAATAGAACCGCGTACGAGTGTTAATATGGTGCGTAGTAGCCACCTCGGCGGGCGTAGCTTCTAGAATTTCGAATAACTTTGAGTTAAGCCAGATAAAATCGCTATCTTGGCGGGTTAGGGTAGTAGGATTAATCTACCTTGGCCTTCGTAAAGGTCGAAAACTGCCGTAAAAGCCACGCGTCGTTCCTCGAGCTCCACGGAATGATCCACGCCCACGCGGCGGGCGATTCGTCGATGACATGCCGGGACGATTTGTTCTTTTTAACATTACCTAAGATAACAAAACAAATTTTTTACATTTTTCTATTATTTTTTTTGTTTCTGTAGGGCATCTTAATAGTTCACCTTAATTTGTCTGCCTCTAAATAATGACTCATCCAAAGCCATGGCTGTTTGCACAGCATCCCTATCTCCAAACTCAATATATGCAAACCCTTTTGGATGACCGTCAAACTTGTTACACAAGATTGTAACCCTGTTGATTGATCCACAGCCATGAAAGTGTTGCTCAAGTTCCTCTGCAGTAGCCCCATAGTCCACATTGCCCACATAAATACTTCTATTATCAACTTCTACCTTCTCTTCAATAGACATATTTAAAGGACTAGCTGTAAATTGCAATAAATTCTGTAATTGAGTTCAAATACAACAAAGTCCAACTTACTGAGACCAGGTGGACTACCCATGTTCATTTGTTTATCCAAATCAGTCTGCAACTGCTTCAACTTCTCTGCCTCTTCTTCCATCTCCTGCATTCTGGCCTTTATTGCCTCCAGTTCTGGGTCATCGCCGCCGCCGCCATCGACGTCTGTGTCGTTCAGCATCGATTCGTCAATGATACCATTTTTATCGTCCAGCGAATCCAACTGGTCTTCGGCGCCTAATCCTAGATCTTCGTTATCAGCCATGACCTAAAAACGACAACACGCTTAGTTGTTTCGCCATCGCGGGTAGGTTAGTTTCTGGGACGCGTCAAACTTATAAAAATGAATGCAATCTTCAAGAGAGCTGCACGTGATAGCTGTGCACAAATGTGTAAATACTCACCTACGAATAACTTATGACCTACGTTCAGTCTAGTAACGAAACTTGTAAAATTGATTCGCGTGTAGCAAAATGATGCTTCAAGCCGGTGTTTCCAAAAATCCAAGCGGCCGTGTCATGAAGAAACGAGCGGTGCGGTGAACTCCCACAGGGTTGCCAACTGTCAGTGTCACCATACTTAAGAAAGGTATGCAACCGCATTACACGTTCATTCTTGAATCCGCCTTAATTCAAAATGTCGAGCTCACGATCACTACAGATATTGTTCTCCGTATTGATTATATCGCTAATGGTAAATATATTTAAGATAATAAAACAATACTGTTATTAATTTAAGTTGTTATGTTGTTGTTATAGATTTCACCGGTCGTATTGCAAAATCCTAACTCTGACAGTGTCGAAACATCACCCTTGGCTGGATATTGTTTCATTTTTAAGCAATGTTACAATTTCCTTTGTGACTGCGAACTCAAGCACCTAAAAGAAATACTTAAAGCAACTAAGCAGCATTTTCGCCGTTAATAATTACTTGGTATCGTAAATTATCGCAAACAAAGTTAATTACCTATTGTCAAAGAATTTACTCAAAACATAAAACATATGAATCACACCAATATCAAATCATTTAAGAATGCATAAGCAAATTCGACATTATTAACGCGTAGTTTCAAGTATAATGATGGCGACGTTCGTTTCACTCTTTTTACTGCTCATCAATGTTTCTATAGTAAGTATTCTATGTTATAAAGAACCAAGCATGTTATTTATTAAAATAATTCATTTGGAACCTTAGCAGTCGGCCCAGCCCACTTCTCAAGATCCACGTATAATCATGCGTGGTTTCTGTTTCATTTTCGGTACATGCTACGACTTTTTCTGCAATTGCGACCTGACCAGGATTAAAAACAGAGAAACGTAACCGAATTGTCTATGCCTATATGATATAACTTGTGCAAGAAATAAAAATAAAGTTATCAAACGTTGTGTTATCATTAGAAACTAATTTCATCCGGTTCGGAATTCGCATCCGATTGATTCTGTCATGATTTACTCTTCTGCTTCACGGCAATTATGTAACGCTGAGCCACCGACATCGGACAGCTGTAACCCTTCGTGCAGTTTTCGTCGTAGAATAATACTTCGTATTCATCCGTATGCTTTTGGGGCGCTTTGCGCACAACACCAATGTACAAACATGATGTACCAGGATATAAAGCCATAACTGCAGAAGTAAGTATATTTTCAGTAAATATGAAAAATATTAATTGAAGATATAAATTACCAATAGTTCCCTGCGGAAATAGAGCTTCTGGATCAGTTTCAGGATTCGCTCGCATCAAAGGCAAAGGTACGACAAACTTCTTGCTGATTGTATGGCGTTTTTTCTGGTTTTGCTCCAGCAGTATGTCATCTACTTCATACTTATTAGTACTGTGTTGATAACTTACTACTTCAGCAAGAATCCAATCATTCATGTCAGCAGTATCAACAAATGTTGCAACCATATCGCCAACCTAGGTTAAAGAATGTTTAATCATTTATTTAGAAGTGATTTTTATTCTATTATTTACCTTAGCTGTATAATTTGATTCTGCTGGAATAGCTCCGCAAAGTGGCGGTGGTTTCTCTCCCGGTTTACCAACATACAACGGTAATGTTTCCGCGTGGTTTTGAAGCATCGAGAAGCACGATGTTTTACGCATCATTTGTTTATTACCGCCCATGCGTGATTTAATACGGCGCTCATTCTTTATGTTGCGAATTTCCACAATTTTCTCTAAAGCCTCGCGCAGAAGTTCTTCTTCTTGTTCAGCGTGACTCAGTGCTGCTTTGTATAGAGCTTTCAATTTTGACTGGAAAATTAGGCAAACATTTAAAAATTGACAGATACATTTGCAAATTTGCAAATTTGCAAATTAATGGCATTTGCAAATTAATTCACATGGAATACAAAATTATAATAATTTTATTCTTATTATTTCATGGTTGTTTATATGTGGATAGTGTAAGTATATACAAAAGAAATAATAGAATAACACTAAAACAATTTCAAATTCTAGAGCTACTCAGGAGAATGTCGGGATGACAGGAGTAATAGAAATAGCACAGTATTTTTACGAGGTTATTGCTACCTCTTTGGAAAATGCATACCAATATTTTGTGAGTGTGGAAGAGACATCAGAGAACTCACCTGATTGTGCTGTGTTTTCTCATCTTGCATCTTCATGATAGGTATAAGGCCATTTTCACTCTGTTGGCGTTTTTGTTCAACTTCATGCACCAATGTGTAAAGAGCATTTAAACGATCTTGCACTTGCTGTGCGGCTTGTGCATCTGATGAAAATGCCATTTTGAAATTTAATTTCAATTATTCAAACAAGATTTATTGAAAAATCGCGACAAGACTATTGCATGATACCAAGATGACACCACAATCAATAACAATATCTGTAAATTGATGTTAAGAGCATATTAAATCAAATAAATTGATTATATTAGTGCAGTTTTCATTACTTACAATGTTCAGCAGCGTGTTAGGCTCAATGTTGTGTTTAATTAAATTGTAAAACATTAGAGAATAATATTTTGGAGGTTTATCAAGCTAGCGATGCTCTGAAAGTCAAATGACAGATATGACACAAACAAAACAATTTGTGCGTGTTTGCTGGGTTGCCTATATCAAATGTGTAGAGAACGTTTGTGATTGCATGAATAATTCCATTGTTTTACAAATTTTTTAAAATTATATCATTCTCTTCCTGTAATCATAATATAGTTTAGTTTCAAACGTTGATCTATGTATGAGATTACATATATTTGATCCGCCTCATTAAATTTTGATGCAAAATGAAAAAAATCTAATAATTTCAACTAACTCCACAAAATTTATAAACAAATTTCTTTTCATTAAATTTAAATACAATAATACAATTTTAAAAATTCATTTGTATGAAATTTGAATGTATATTAGATATTATAATTTATCTAAATATTTGCACGCTCTGTATTATTTGAAAACAAAACAATGTTTTGTTTGATGTTGGAAAATGCTGAATATAAAAGAGGCCGCATTGACCGAACGCATTTTCACCGCGTCCAAAAATTCCTAGCCGAAGCGCGTCGATACGGTCGTTGCGGCGCGCACGCCCGCCCCCGACCCACCGCCCCCGCCGTCCCGACGTCGCTGCACATTCTTGTGAGGCGGCCGCGTCGCTCCCGTCTCGAGAATCAACAGGCGCTCGTCGCAATCGCATTCGTCGCCGCCGCCGACGTGGTCGTCCTCGCGCGCGCCGTCACAACACTCGATTAATTCGTCGCGTGAAAAACGCTTTGAAAAACACTAACAAAAACTAACGCAAACTAATTTGTTATCAAACATATTATTTTATAAAATTAAACTGATTACCATTAAATTGCGTCGAATATTTCAAACGCACATTTGTTGCAAAGTGTCGCATTGTGCATCTCAATCGATGCGCGGAGATGTCGCACGTAAATAAAAATAACAACAATTAATTGATTGGCGGCACGGTGCGGCGGTCACGGCCGTGGCGACACTAAAAATACATCAGCATCGGCATGTCGGTTTCGTGAATTAACCGATTCGCGCGTCGCATATTGTTTGGGTGCGCGTCCGTCCATCATCACCAGCCGCCCAGCTTCCGCAGCATCGGCGGAGGCCCGCGCGTCTAATGGGGTGCTCCCCCAGCCAGCTCTTTGAGCACATTCATCGCTCCAGCGTTGGTCAACCAAATACCTTCAAGAAAAACGACAACAATGAGAAACTCAAACGAGGTAAGTTTTTCTTTGACTAATATCTTTGTTTTAAAAACTTTTTCAAACTTTTTCAAGTTAATAATGAAATATATCCGACGTAGCTATAAGAAAACTAGCGCAAGTATTGTTTACACATACTTGACGTTAATACACAGTCATTATTCATATTACAATATCACTAATATTATGAATAAACTAATTCAATTACGTTGACATGTTGACGATTAACAATCGCATAATGTTCATACCGCCGTCCACTCGACGCTGGTATTGTTATCAAACACCGGCGAAACACGCGACTCGCCGGACTCGACTTTCCATCGTGTCGGGTGCCCTCACGAATCAACACAGCGAAGAAGCTAATTAATTATTCCATTCCCGAGCCTGACGTGACGCGACGCACTTGAGGTAAATATTTATTTACACCACTCCTTCGCTGCAGTACCTACATGCGCAATGTCGTAGCTTGCGCAAGCCGCAATATTTGTGTTTCGCTACATGTTACACATGTTATGCTACTCGTGGGCTACAACGTGCAAGAATTATTATAAGCCATGGGCGGTAACAAGCACATGCGTGAGATTGGATTTATTAAGTTGTCTGATACTTGGATCATCGAGAATACTTACGCTGAAAGCAGCATGTTTCAGTTTTCATCGGCTTGCGGTTGTGAGGCAATCGCAACAGGTGGTAAGAAGCTACGAATTTCACTTCGAAGACTAATATTGTAGCCAAACTTTTTCAAACAGAACAGAAAAACAGTAAAAGTTAGGGTTATATGACAGTGCTGTCATTTTTAGCGCATGCGCATAATTATTTTGGTAAAAACACTGGCAAGAAGCCTCGATTTTTACTTCACAAAACAATATTTCATCCAAACCTTTTATAACTTACCAAGAAACAGCAAAAGTTAGATTAATGTAGGTATATATAGCAATACTGTCAATTTTAACGCCTGCGTATATTAAATACTAAAAACTTTGTAGTAAGAAACTACGATTATCACTTTAAAGAACAAGATTGTATCCAACCCGTCCAAAACTTAATAAAAAACAAGCAAAAGTTGGGTTAATGTATACAAAAAGCTGTCATTTATAGCGCATGCGCATTTTAAATTTAATTTGAAAAACATTGGAAGTTTTACTTTCTTTGTGTCCATTTGTGTCTCAGTTTCAATCTCTCATAGGTGTACGTTGAGCTACTCATGTGCTCCGCCTGCATGCAGCTGGTCAGTGACTACTTGGTTGTTTCTCGCAAGTAATATAATCGCAAGGCGACTCTCCGCGGACTCTCTCGCCTGCCACAAATCAGCTCGTCAGTCAGTCAGCGCGGCAGTGTGTCCGTCGATGGACACTCGCACTCGGCGGATCGTGACCGATAGCGCGACAATTATTACACATCGATCGAGGCTAACAAGCCGCGTAACAGCTCGTGAAAAGAATTAAAAATTAGTGCAGTTACTCACATGCATACACACAGCATTCACATGCACGTGCTTCAGGTTGGAATAATGTGGCAACATGACACAAAATAGTAAGAGTGTATTTATTAACCAAAAAAATGCTTGATATGCATAAGAACGCGACGCGCGCTTAAAACGACTAAAATCGCTTGCGGTCTTTATCTTATCAGAGAGTGAATTCGTCGGGTCTTTTATTTTTGCAGCAGGTCCGGGTACGATATCGGTTTTAATAAGTTATTTCAATACTTTAATACAAATTAAGCTTGGATTTATTTGGGATTTATTTGGTAAAAATTAAAATTAAACGCGTGCTGATAAATATGCGGATTAAACCATCCTTAAAGTCGAGTTTTTTAGCGCAAAATTTTTGATATCGACGGCTTGATTAACACCGCGCCAGGATTTATCCTGCGTATGAGTTCATTATCGAGCATTGTGCGCACTTATCGGAATTTTCGATTAGTTTGCTCATCCGCGATGGCTGATACTTTTATCTCTCGTCGTGGGTGGTTGGAAAATCAGTTGCTATGAAGCTTGTCAGTCGCGTTCGCATCTTCAACGTGAAATAACAATCATTTACAAGGTATAATTTACAGTTTTTACTTTATTATAAAATGTTTAATATAAATTCACTCAGAATTAAATTTTGAATCTAAATAAATCGATTTTATATTTTTAACATAATTTAATCAAAAGTTACAGAGAAATTTATGATTTTTTATTGAAATTAATTTTATTTGTGTATAACTTTGATTGCAATAATTTTTTTAACAAAATTCTTTAACAATTTGGCGTATAATTTAATAAAAAATAAATTTTGTAAGAAAATTATTTGATAGAAAATACTTTTTGTGATTTAATGATTATTTTATTTATAGCTTGTTTAATTTTCCTAATTACAAAATTCACTTAAAGATAAATTAATTAGTGCGCTGAATGCGCTGGTTATTCAACAAATAAGAGACGTTTCAGAATATAAACAAAACAAATAATGTTAAGGTGAAACGCTTAGCGAGCGCAATTATTCACCGTGCGCCGCATGCTCTCTCGGTACAATTGCGTTATACAGCCGACCGAAAAAAAGCAAAGCAGCGCGTTCTACGTTCGAGCGACGAATTTGTTGTTACGTTATAATTATTGTTAACATATTCGTGCGGCGCGTGTAGTACCCGTCTGCGCACCGTACGTGCGGCCGTCGACGCGTCCTGAAAATTAAAATTACGACTTCGACGTTGGAAATTATTTTTGCAATGAATTAGTTAACGCAAAAATACACCTAAGGTTAATTGGTTAGTGTTTTAAAAATATTTATTTTTTGTTTCTAGCAAACAGTGGAATAATGTAGAGGTGTGTGATAGTGAAAGCATGTGCGTGCGTGGATTTGATTAATTTTTGTGTGCGGCATTACTTGCGCTAAGTAACAATAATAATAAAAAAAAATATATTAATATTGCGAGCGCAATTGAACGGAACTAATGATCGCTGTGCGCGCGTACGGACGATGACTATCATTGAACCGATAACAATGGAGCAAGTCTATGATAATGCCATAGACAAATCCCAAAGTCAACACAACAGCCAACAGCAACAACATCATCACCAGCAGCACAACGTCAACGATAACGCCGCAGTCAGCGCTAATGGTAATTTTTTCACATGTGTGCTTGCGGTTTTTTATTTTTTTGGTGCGCGCACAGCGCAAACAGCGACACAACGCCAAACAAGCGAAAAGCGTTTAAACTTTAGCCGCATGATACTTGAGCTGTACTTAAATGTATTAATTATAAGAGAAATGAACAATGGTTTAAAAATTCACGTAAGGGATTCATATTTTTGGTTTATTCATGGAAATTTTGAGAAAATTCAACAACAGGTTTATGTTCTCAGGTTATATTTTAATATTTTTCATAAACATTTTATTGGATTATTCTATGCAAAAGCAACAAATTTTCTTCATAATTCTGATTTTTTTGATTTTAATTAAAAACTAACAAATTTTGCGATTTTATTTAATATTAGTGTTTGCCTGCGTAGATTTTAATAATTAATAGCATAATTATTTTTTATCTGGCGAAAATATTCTCAATTTTAATTTTAAAAAATGATAAATGGTTACAATGCACTTTTGCGCCATCTGGGAGTGAATTATATAACTATAACTGTGATTGAATCTTCATATAAACTTTCATCCCTTATTTCTCATCCTTTCAGTAAAATTTTTGCTATAAAAAGAATCCTATTTTATTTTCCTAGGTTTAACCTATTCTTATACCCGAATTCATCAAAATAACTTCAATGGTATATCCGTGAAAGCTTCACAAACATTAATCAATTTTTTTAACTCACATCGATGACAAAAACAATTCTAAAATTAGACATTTGTCATTTTGACTAATTTGCACATTCCTTAACAACAAATGAAGATACAAAAATAGAACAATAATAAATTCCAAGACAAATAAACCATTCATCTATTGTTTGCCACATTGAAATAATATCCTTTCGACACTGATAGAATCTCTGGTCCTTAATGAAACCTATTATGGCAGCACAATTATGAATGCCACTCCATTGTGTTACTGCAGCTTACTAATATTCGTTGATTCAATTTCAATTTAGTTTTCTATCACTTTCCTCTCTTTATACGGTCGTAATATTTCCTGGAAAACGTGCCCCGGTCGCAGCGGTGGCAGCGACGTGAGTGGAAGGTGAAACTATAATTGTCGGTGCCTGGTGAATGTTTAGTTTATGTTGTCATAGTAACTTAATAATCAACCGCACTTGCGTCAATGGTCGGCGCGTAAACTTTTACGGTCGGCTGGAAAACGTGGTGAAACGACTGTGCTCGGGGCACGTTCCGCAGTTTACGGCCCTGGCTGACCGAAATAGTTTTTCTTATTTGTGCGCCATTAAAAAGCATGGAATCATTAAATTATTGCTAAATCAATTTAAAAATTTAAAGTTATTCAATGTTGAATGTGAATTGTTTAAAGATTTTGTTTCAAAATTGGATTGAAAGCAATTTTTAGTAAATTTTAAATAAAATTTCTTGTAAAATTAGATTTTTGTTAAATTTACTTAAAAATTAAGAAGAATTATAATTATATTTACAAAATATTTAAAATTTACTAAATTGCTTCATTACTTTTGAAGAAAAACGTGTTTTAACATATTTTATGGTATTTTCATTGGTTTTTAAGTGATTAATCAATCAGGAAAAGTTGTTTGATGAAAATATACATTTTATAGAGTCTCTTTGATGTTTTATCATGTTTCTAATAGCAATTTATGATCGAATAATTTGTTTTATTAAAATTTGAGTTTTAATATTACCAAAAATTTTTATCGTGTTGTTGCAGACCTTAAAAATGTATCACAACATGATAAAACTATAAAATGCAAAAAAGGAATTTAATGATTACATTAAAAATTAAATTTAAAATAAACTTTTATTTATAAAAAAAACCGCTTCACATGTTGATGTTGATGATACGAGTAGGAATTTTTACTTTTCAAGCGATCGTTGCTCGCTGCTCGCTTGTTGAAGCGTTGCGCAATCGCGAAAAGCAAACACGAATCAAAGTTGTAATTTTCCCATTTACGTCAACTTGTCCGAGTGCCACTAACCGACTCTCTAGGCCGGCCGCACCAGCCGCTCGGAACGCACTTGTCGCACTTGCCGTCCGCTCAATAACCACCATCGCCCATCGCGCGGCCGCCGCAACTGATTCCGAAGATGAGATTGAGTTGCAAGATTGATCGGCTGGATCGCGCTGGTTCAAACCTGTGACATGCTATACACTTGCTCCTCGACCCCGGGGTCATTCCGAGCACATAATTAATCTTTGCGCTACAAAGCATGCAAAAATTTTGCAGTGGATAAATCGATGAATCTTAATTTTAGTTTTTAGCGCCGTACTTGGCAGATTATGCACGCAAATTGTCGCGGATAATTTTAGATGAATAAACATTAAGTTGCGGTTTTTAACTAGATAAATTTTCGATGTTTTTAGCACCATTTCATTGGTGTACTTTTAAATCAGATATTTTTTCTTATAAAATGAAATGCGGGTAAAAAATACCAGCGCAGATAAAAAATTTAATTTGTTCGCGTTTCTCATCATCGTCATAATCTTCATAACGAATGTAATCACATCGTAATTGCGCTGCATCCTTGGAATCGTTACGCAATTCTGAAGCCCGAAAAGCCCGTCGACGTAGCGTAAAGTAGCAATTTTTTTTATTTCGATTTGTCGATTGTAAGGAGGCCTGCAAATAAAAATCGAAACAGTAATGCTTCTAAATGTCTTAAACTGATAAGTAATATAAATTATTATGTAAAAATAATTGAGTCAGTGTTATTAGCTGGATAATTATAGTGATAATGCACTAATTTACTTTCTATATGCTTAATTAGCCGCTGTGTGTCTTTTTGTTTTGCACAAACATCGCAGTTGTAATTTGCGAGCGACGCCGCATCGGCTGGAATAAAGTGAGGCTACCGTGCGAGGTTAATTGAGTGAATTATTCGACGAAATTGCAAATTGCGAGTGCCGCCGCGAAACGAATGCAATTATCATGACAGCGACTTACATATACTGAATGTTACATTTTATTTGAATGAAAAATGTGGCATAGAATCAATAAAAATGCTTGAATTACGATAGATGAAAATATTCTGGGTATGCAATCCGTAAAACTTCAAAATTTACATTTTTAGTTCACAATCTAATATTTTTTAGTTGAATTTTTAAAAAATCTTAATTATTTCAAGCGTTTTACGCAAAAATTGAATTTTTCTGTATTTTTAATCAAAATGAGTATAAATACAGGATGTGTGGGTGTATTTTATTGCATTTTTTATTGATGAACTACATTTGTTTATTGGTAATATTATTACCGATCTGCAATTTCCGTAAACATTTTGTATCACCAATAAAAACGCGTCCAAATGCAGCGCGGCAATAACGAGCGAAATTTAATTCGTTAATGCATTAATGGCAGAAGCGACCGAAGCGGATATCGACTCTCAATTTGCGGCCATGTGTTGCGCGATAATAAAGTCCGGCTTTTTCTTCCACTCTTCTTTCTCTTCGCCGGGTTGCAACATAAGAAACGTCTTTCTTTTATTTGCGTCGCGAGACACAAAACAGGGTGAAACTCCAATGCAGCGACAACCACACCGACACGAAACGGACAAGGCGAGATAAGATAAGATAAGCGTAGAACAGTCTTGGCGAGCGTAATTGATTTTTCCTCGTTTAATTTCTCTTTTCATTGCGTTGTTGCTCCAATTTCGTCATTCTCCGGGTCGCTGTATTTTTTGGCCACTCACGCTTTTATATTTTATGTCTTTATAACTCGTTGCCGGATGAAGCTTGCCGGGCGAAATGTGTTTTTTTGCTGCTTCTGCGTGCTTTTTCCATCAAGCAGCATTAAAATTTCAAAAGCTGCACTGCTGAAGAGACCAAAACAAGGCGCAAGGTGATGATGAGCGTTATTCTTGACATTTCGTTTGAAATACAGAAATACAATGAGTTTCAAAAACGTTTTAATTTTAACACTTTTAGATTTTTTGAAGTAGAAAGAGCACTCGAGCATGAAATACAAAGAAATACGTTGAAAACATTCGTTTTTAAGCAAAAATTATTACAATACAAGCGTAAAAAGTGCATAAAAATATAGTGAGTTGCCTACTCATCCCACAACTTTGATATAAAAATGCATAATATTCTAGCTGACAAAATTGTGAATAGGAAGAATTTTTAATCACGCAGACCGCCTCTTTTAATATTCCTTTGTTTTCCTCTTTGTAACATTACGTAGTCTGGCTGACTTCGGCCTAATCCAACAACGCTTTGAATCTTTTGCAGAATAATAATATATTCATAAGTTACTTTTAAATTAAATATTGATAATGCCTTAATCTGCATTTTTAACAAGCGCGAACAGAATACAACGAATAAACGAGTTTTTCCTTTCATTAACTTAGTCGTGAAACACGTTTTATGCCTTCAATTAAATCAAAATGGATTTGAAATTTGCGTAACTCTTTTAATGATTTAATGGACTTTAAAATCAAACGCATTAATCAAATGGCCGCCTGCTAATTGATCGATTTTATTGCTTGCACTTACTTTTCACAAAACATTAATTCACAAACGGATGAAAATAAGAAGATTTATTATTGTTATCGTGTTATTAAAGAGCTGGAAAACAGTATTTATGTAAAGTCAATAAATTTAGTTGAATATTCGTGTAAATTGCCAATTAAACTGAATGCAGTGTTTAATCATCTTTTATAATAACCAATAATGAGAATGACGATAACTGTCGATAATAGTCGTCAAATTAACATGCAATTTATCATCACGTCGCGCGAAATGCATCAGTTCGAAATTGATGTTAAATTAATAATAAATTACGCATTAATGAATACTCAAATGTCAACACATTATTGACACTGTGTTTCGGTATTATATGCACTTGTTGATTGATGAAAATTGCATTTTAGCAAATAAACTACAACATTTTACTTGTACATAAAATACGCGTAGCAGTTTTTTGAAGTTGTAAAATGTTTTATGCAAGTCGCAGCGACAAACTTAATATAATTAATTAACGACTAATTTTATTAGATCCCAAATACGAGCAGGGTTGCAAAAAGTGTAGTAAAAGTAAAAAGGAAATTAAATTGTAATTTGACTTCAGACTGATGTAATTACAAGGGTTATAAGAAAAGCTGCAGATGGAATTAGCTCGTAATTATCAAAGATATTTCTGGATTACTAAATAAAATATGAAAGAATTTGTTATTGTTGAAATTGAAAAATACAAACATTTTGTTTTACATGTTAGGCTTTCCAGTTGCTAATGGTTTCAACTCATGTATTCTATTAATTATTAACACTAGCGTGTAGATTACGTGCCGCAAACGTGCATTAAAATGCTGGGGCGGTTAAATAAAGCGGTTTTATGGGATTTTGTTCCCTGGCCGCTCATCGCGTGGCTTCCTGTTTACCTATGAAGGATTACAAACAACCGCAAGCCGTATCTCTTCACTTTAACATTTTTTTTCTTCACAAATATAATTGAACTTTTATTAAAACCACATTTGTAGATTATTTCTATTTTTAATAAATTCGTCAATTTTATCATTCCTGAGAAGTGAGTAGTGAGCACACGTCCAAAATTTAATTTATTCATTACATAAGAACAACAAGTTTATTGATTAGCACTCCCGCTGACATGCATTAGCATAAACATGTCACATGTAACTCGTACATGAGTAGAGGAATCACAACACCGAACGCCGAATGCTTTCTTCGTATCTACGAGTATACATCGACTGCATGACGTGTTGTTTAATGTCGCTATAAAAATGATTCAATTGGCATGCGGTCGTTTATTAATTACGAAGGTGTTGAAACCACACACTCAAATAAATCGCTTGTCGGTTTGCCTTTTAAATGTTTCAACCATCACTCGGGTTTACTACCTTCGAGTGCCGAATAAGCTGAGATCGATTTATTGCTTTCATCCAAACGTAGATATTCATTGTGAGTGTTCATAAATCAAACTCTTGAAATTATAATTTTCGTATTATTCATTCCCGGTGTGTAATTATTATTAGTCTCGCGTCTTGCATTTGAAAAACGTGTAACAAATTGTTTAATATCTTTCGCCCACCTACTTAGAATCATATTTTCTCGCAAAGAAGCAATAAAATGTTTTGTAGCTCTAGGGCAGTTAAATATTGTTTAAAAGTGGGCGAAAAATATTTTTGGATGATAATTTAAAAATATTTAATATAGAAAAGTGACATTACTAAATTGAGTTATTGTGATTGTTTCTTTCTAGTTTAAATTGCGTGGAAGTCGAAAAATGCTGCGGGTTATGTGTCGTTTGCGCAACATCTTTGTTCGTAAATGTTTTGACCGCGCTTTGAGCGCAATCAAGAGACATGTAAGTGGTGCATTAAGTGGCGACTGATTGGTTTCGACCACGTTTTGATTTTGCCGAATAATGAACACTCGCCCAGTTTCTAATTGCGCAATTATAAAGTGTAAAAGCCGAGTGTCATATGCTATTCGATGAATCAATTTCATTTAGTTTTGAATTCAATCATTTTTCAAAACACTACGTGGGAGGTAGAAAAATAGCGTATGATTATAACGTTATTTAAAACGATTCACGTTTCACAATCCGTTTTATTATTTTTTAATTCTCTCGGATTTTCACGAGAGAAGTTTTCGAATGTTTGCATTTGAATATGTTTTAATTACCAATTGGCGGCGATATGCGTTGTGCACGCATTCGTTTCGGCAGCAAAAATACACCGGCTTTGTGCGATCGGTGTAGATTTTCACTTTAAAATTAAAATTTCGGTTTCATAAGGCTATAAAAAAGTCGTAAAAGTTAGTTATCGTAAATGTCGTTTTATATTTCGTCGAAATGCGGCGTTTCTTTGGCTTGTCACTTTCTTTCGGCATCAGATGTGAAATATCAACGCAGCTCGGATCAAGATCTTTGCTTTGTTTAGTCGTTATTTAAATAGTCGAATATTGTATTAAATTTTATTGCCTCCGAATTGGGAAAGCATTTTTTATTCATGAAATCGCACATAAAATAATTTCAAAAATAGCATTCAATCATTCAATTCATCCAACTGGGTTGAAAAAGATTAATATAATTGGAATGGCAGTGCAATATTGATTTATTCTTCTAGTATAATATATAAATTTGATATAAGAGTCTATAAAAATGTAATATTAATTAATTTAATTCAACTTGAAGAAAACAAGTCATAAATTACACCAATAAGACTTTTACGACATTTCAAAACTAAACATACTTTTATTTTTACATAGCAAAGTTAAAATATAATAAAATAAAAATAGAGATTTAGTTTGTTCTATCGTCTCTCCGCTTGGGAATTCAATTCATATTGTCAAGTTACAAGTGCCTGTCGCTGTAGGGATGATCCTACACATGCCGAAGGATGGCCATTAATTAGAATTCGCGTTAAATCAAAACTAATTATCAGTCACGTTTTGGGCGTCAAACACAAGAGGCCAGCTCTAATCAATCGGCCGCTGTGCCGACGTATTCATTGAACTGTGTGTGACTGTTTGAAGCGATTCAGGATGCTGGAGTATCTATATTCCACGTGTAGTGTGGTAATTGTGGTCTGGATATTACAGGTGATATCAAATTGCAAACATTCAGCCAGAATTCACAATTTAATTAGGAAGGAATGACATTTTGTAATATGTAACTTAAAATTTGGTTGATTTTTAATATTTTACGCGTATTTTAAGAGTTTAAATTAAATTGTATGTGTGTTATTCATAAACTTCGAAATTAGTGGACAGATTTTGTTGAAATTTTCAGGACATCTTCAAATTAGCTCAACTGGAAATTTGGTGTAGTGCGGAATTCAAAATATCATTTAAATGGTGGAAAATACGGGATGAAAGTTGATATGGAGATTTTACTATAATTATAGTTGTATAATTTGAATCCAGATAGCGCTAGCTGCACGTATTTGCATAAAAATCACGAATGAACTTATTTCTTGTAATTCTCGACTTTAAATTTGCTATATTTGTAAATTATTCCCTTGCAACTTGATACTTATAAATAATAACACACTGTCAATTTATTTCTTTGACGTCATTCGCGTGTTTCGCGTACTTTGCGTGCATTCAAACGGAAAAAAATTATATAACCTATAATAATTGTCTCCTAAAGACGTTGAATATAAATATCTTGGAAAATATATTAAAATCGTTGTGTATTCCAACGAATGCTTGATACAATGCGCAAATATTGAAAATATTAATAATAGTAGCGATGATCCGAACAGTAATTAAAATCATAAGATCCATATTGCTCGAGGAGCGACTTGTTTTATGTTCTTGTTTACATCTACGCCGGACGAACCACTCCAGCGATTATTAACGTGGAAATTTGCGCATGCAAACACAATGTGCGCGGGTAACTGGAAATCGTCCGAGATGCGCTGCGCGAATATTAATTTCGTTGCGCCATTCCACCAATTAAATCGAATCGTTCCGCGTAGTTTGTTGCGTTAATAACGCGACCGCGCGCACATGCGATGCCAGAATAGTGTAAATAAAATAATTTACTCGCGTGCTTTTCAATGAGCATGTAATTGCTACTCTATCAAAGTGTATTGTTACAAATTGTGTTGTGTTATTGTTGCAGATGCGAATAATGCGATGGCGGCAAACAACGCCACGAACCGCAAGATTTCGTTGGCGACGACACCCGAAGAGGAACACGTTGATATCTATGTAAGTAATTTACGCATGCGCAGTGAATATATAGTTGCGTTAAGTTATTTTATCGAAGTGGATTGCAACATTTCACAGTCTAGCCGACATAACGTAAATTATCAACTTAATTTTGTTTATCACTTTATGTTACTTTACGGCGTGTGTCCAACGAATAGTTTGTATTTACTTTACGCAAATTTGAACTTCCACGTTTTCTGTTCCGCCACGGGTGGAAATACCGTGGAGAAGTTTATTTTCCCATCGCGTATTTTTGCTACGCTCATAAATTCTGGAGCGCAAGCTCATGCACGCGGCGGATCGAAATGTTTAAAACGTAAAAACAGCAAACAGGAACAATTCTACGCGCACTGAAAGCGCTACAAGTTACACTTATAAATTCATTTATTTGCGTATATCCACCTGCCTCGATTTATGCTGTGCTCACGATAAATTCACCGCTGTTTCCCGGTTGCATGTATATTATAATCAAACTTTGAGTGCATAGATTTTACTTTACATTCGAAGCAAACTTCTGAAAGAGTTTTTTTGCACTCTTCGTAATTAAGACCTATCTTTTAATTCCGAGCGAAAAAGCTTTCATTACGGAGTTTGTACACCCGCACAGCTAACGACAAACGACGACAAAGTAAAAAAAAAAAAAACGCGCGGCGCGCAATAAACGCAACAAACGAAACGAAATAAAATGAAGAAAGCTGGCTCCTTCGTGTGCAATCAGTAGAAGCACTCTCTGGATGGTTCAGGTATCCAATATACCAAAAACAGCGCCGGGCGAATCGCAACAAGTTGCTAAACTTTCGGTTTCATTCATTTTTTTTTCTTTTTGCTGTAGAAAAAGTGTCAAACTGAAAAATCCTTAGAGAAAACCAGTGACATTTTTAATATTTTTAATACTTTTAGTGATTTTTTTTAGTAATTTTAATCAATATCCATGTGGTGCTATTTTTGTAGAGGTTATGTACACAAATTGGTAGCGTAGGAAAACAAACCGAACTAAATTTACAGTGGGCGGATGTGGACTAAGCCCTGAGGGATGGTTAGATTGACCTTTAGAATAGCCATGTGAATGAAACTTTACAAAGGACAATTCATCACTCTTCAAACATTAAAAATTCGATAATTATACACAAATAACGCATAAAAACACATAAAAAATTCAATTTATTTACTCACTAACCGGAAGTCAATTAAAAATATTTAACTTACACGTTGTAATAGGAAACTATTTCGCTTCATTAATAATTTCCCATTAATGCAGCCAGTTTCCAATAAACGTTAAGTTGGGATAATTTAGACCCGCGTTATCGATGTATTAAAATTTATACGCGCGCCGTGTGTACGCTCGCGAACATTAAGCGATGGCGAATTTAATCAGAAACGCAATGAAGCGCAACATACCATAATCCATTGCGAATGCAGGCGTCGCAATATGAAACGCGGTTGTTGTTATTAGACACAACGTTTAAATTCTGCGCTATTATGTCGCGCATGATTGCTAGTCGTGAGGCGCAGGCGGCGCATTTATTCGATGCATTAAAACGATGTACTACAATGTCCCCCAAATCGCTGCGACGTGTATGTGTGTGTATGTCACAAACGGCAGGAGTGCAAACATTACGGTGGAAGCGCGTTTTGTTTCATTTGATTTTGATGCGATTCACAATGAGAATGATAAGAAACTTTCTAATTAGTGTTAAATTTCGTAGCGGGAGTCTAATTTCTTCGTATTTGTACCAAGTTTCCTGATTGGTTTCATATGAATTTAATTTAATTTAATTATAAGGAAGTCTCGTTAGTTACAACATTTTTAACTCAAGAACTGCTGGATAGATTTTGATGATTTATGATTTTTTGGATTTGTATTTATCTGGAATAGCAGAATAACTATTAAAATATTGAAAATTACAACTTAAAGGGTGTTAAATAAGGGAATAAAGTTGATATAGAGATTCAATTATAGTTATAGTTTAATAATTTAATCCTAGATGGCGTTAATTTGCATTTTTAGCATTTCTCAATTCTTAAAGATAAAATTGCAAATTTGATTGAACAAAAAAATAGAAATTAATAAAATATTTACTAAAAAATACAGGGATAAATTCACAAATAAAAATTAGTTACTTTATAAATAAAAATGTTTATAAAAGAAATTTATAAATACTTATAAATTGCAAGTATAGATAGCGCCCCAGGTAATTCTTAAGCAAATACTTTAAGAAAACAAGTTATATGCTACAGTGTTACCTCTCCAAGGCATACTTACCTGGCGTAGAGGTTACCGTGATCAACAAGGCGGTTCCTCCAAGGTGAGGCCCTTCCATTGCACTACGGTGGGGCTGACCCTTGCGATTATCCCTAATGTGGATAACTCGGGCGCGCAATTTTTGGTAGTCGGGACTGCGTACGCGCTGTCCCGGTCTTATATAATCGAAATACAATTATTTTTCTTCCCTTAAAACCATTCTGAGAAACTGTCAAAACTTTATTCAAATTAGAACGTAATTACATTGTTTCAGCGCTGCCGGAACTTCGTTCTTTAAGCTCATTTGTTTTGACTGGCGTATAAAACTTAGTTTCGAAAATCCAACTAATTACGATCGAGTTTGGGATTAATTTTCATCAGAAATGTTTAACACCCATATTTCTGATAAAGATATTTATGTATTTTTATTGAAGTCAAAGGTTTCTATTTTTCTACTAAAGAAACGCACCAGCTGGAAATATTTTTCTTTTTTTTACAATTCCTTAGACTAGTTCTACACAAAAGAAATTCAATGAAAAAGCTCTGTATCGACAGACAGAAATCATTTTCAATAACTTCACGTCTTACACCACAACTGCGAAATAGATATCAACCCGAAGTTCTCTCCACCTATGTACTTTTCTCATTATTGCAAAATTGAAATGCTGGCAACGCGTGACACTGCAAATTCAAGACCTTGAAATTGTATAGAAGCTTCGGAAGGACGACGATGAGACTTTTACGAATAGAAGTTGGAAATCTAACTCACAGCTCACAGCGCAGTGATATATTTACGTAGCACTTCAATCATGTCAATAAACGGAATCATTTCAATCATAGAGAGAGGCAATCGGGTAAACAGATTGAAGCTTGCTACTTTTTTTTCTGCAACGGCAGCGTGTAAATTCATGGAACATGCGAATAAAAATGAAAATTGAATAAGAAAACCTGTGAAAACAAGGGGAAAACACAGCTGCCGAATGGTGGAAATGTAATAATATGAAACGAAGATTGAGATGCGAAATTTATTCGTGAAAGTGAACTCGGCCGAAATTGAAATGTCAAAATCATTGGAGAATTTGAAGTGAAACACATTTTCATCTGCGTTGAAATACAAAATTTATTGAAAAAAAAAACTATTTTTTAATTTATTATTTAGAATAAAATAAATTCAGCCATAAAGAATGTAATTTATATCTTTTATGACTAACAAGATGAATGTTCAAAAGTCATCCACGAAGAAAATTTGCATGGAAAGGAAAATCAAACAAACAGTGTACATTATGTAGACATTTTTCCATCAAAAATGAAACAAAGCGGCAACTCTCGTACGAGGCAGGGAAAAATATGCAGAAACTTTTATTGGCAAGTCTTGCGCGGTGTTCGAGCCTTTGAGTGACGTTTCGAAAGAAGCGCTGTGATTGATGTAGTGAAAATGCAAGCGGGCAAATATGATTTTCCGAGTGAGGCTGATTTAATTTGGAATTCCGCGAATTTTCGCGATTGTGATGCAACGTGAACTTTGGCTGGCATTTAACATACCCCTTTTGATTAAAAAGGTATTACATCCGGCAGGTACATAGTTAAAATTAATCCCGGCGCGAATATAATAGAAGGATTAGTTGGCAAAAAACAAAGCCTAATGAATTTTGTTCCGAACTATTTTATTTTATAAATCAAAAGAATTTAGTTTATTTTTTGAATTCGTATTTGAACAAACAGCATGTTTGATTCATATTTTAATTTGGACAATAATTATCACAGCGCTGTCAGCCCACACAGGGCTTAAAACGTCCTTCATGGGCTTTATCGTCCTGACCGGGACGCTTTGTACTAAATAAGCACGAGCGTGATCCATTCAAAGCTCTTCACTGATTATTACAATGGTTTGTATAACGATGGGATAACAAGCACTGCAAAAAGCATCATGTGGACAGAGAGTACTTATGTATTTATATCTTTGTTGGTTTTAATAAAAAATTATTATTGTGGGAACTAAGAAGGTAAAAAGTAAAAAGTGTAAATTAAAGCTACAAATGATTTTTTATTCTCTTTTTTTTGCTATATAATCTAATCAATTTTATAATCTAATCAACTTAAATATTTGGGCAGCAGTTCCTTGACCTCGACCCTTGACCCTTTTGATCAGTACGTAAGCTGTCACCATGTCCACTCTCCTCATCAGTATCTTCATCAGTATCCTCACCAGTATAATCCGCCAAAGATAATTCTTCTGGTAAGGTCATGTAAGAACTGTTATGTTCATCCGTATCTTCATCAGTGTCTTCATCAGTATAACCCGCCAAAGATAATTCTTCTTGTAAGGTCATGTAAGAACTGTTACCTTCATCCGTATTTTCATCAGTATCTTCATCACTAGCCGCACCAGTGTAACCAGCCATAGATAATTCTTCTTGTAAGGACATGTACGAACTGTTATCTTCATCCGTATTTTCATCAGTATCTTTATCACTAGCCGCACCAGTATAACCAGCCATAGATAATTCTTCTTGTAAGGACATGTACGAACTGTTATCTTCATCCGTATTTTCATCAGTATCTTTATCACTAGCCGCACCAGTATAACCAGCCATAGATAATTCTTCTTGTAAGGACATGTACGAACTGTTATCTTCATCCGTATTTTCATCAGTATCTTTATCACTAGCCGCACCAGTATAACCAGCCATAGATAATTCTTCTTGTAAGGACATGTACGAACTGTTATCTTCATCCGTATTTTCATCAGTATCTTTAT